CCTAGTTGGGGTGCAGGTACGGCAGATAGTGTAGAACCTTTGGGTGGACTACTTAAATAGGCACTCAAAAGGTGCACGTGTGGCTTAATGTACCATCATTGTAATTATATATAAAACTCCATCTATACTCTAATAAAAAGTTTCCCAGACCAAAGAGGTCACCTTAATACAAAAAAAAAAGAAGAAAATTTGGTTCTATTATAATTCTCTGTATACATACTTATCTGAATTAAAGCAAATCGTGTAATATTTAAAGTAATAAAAAAAGAATTAAGCAATGGATTTGAGTAGAGTTAGTTTAAATAATTAGATTAAAATATTCAGCATACTTGAAATAATAGAATCAAGTCGAGTAGAATAAATCAGAGTAAATAGAATTACTATTGAAAATATAAAATGATCTATTGACAGTAAACCCGAATTTTTTACAGTAAATCACTATATAAATCACGTTCATTCCAATACAAAACTAACATATCCATTTGTATCACTATAGCGAGTAAGTACAGTAAACCGGAGCTTTTTACAGTAAATCACTAGAAATTACGTTCATTCCAATACAAAACTAACATATCCATATCTAAATCACTTGTATCACCACAATAGTCGGTAAGAATTTTTTACAGTAAATCGCTATAGAAATCACGTTCATTCCAATACAAAACTAACATCCATACCTAAATCACTTGTATAACCACAATAGTCGGTAAGAATTTTTTACAGTAAATCACTATAGAAATCACGTTCATTCCAATACAAAACTAACTTATCCATATCTACTTGTATCACCACAATAGTCTGTAAGAATTTTTTACAGTAAATCACTATAGAAATCACGCTCATTCCAATACAAAACTAACATATTCATATCTAAATCACCTGTATCGTCACAATAGTCGGTAAGAATTTTTTACAGTAAATCATTATAGAAATTCCAATACGAAACTAACTTATCCATATCTAAATCATTTGTATAACCATAATAGTCGGTAAGAATTTTTACAGTAAATCACTATAGAAATCACGTTCATTACAATACAAAACTAACATATCCATATCTAAATCACTTGTATGACCACAATAATTAGTAAGTACAGTAAACCAGAATTTTGAAATCACGCTCATTCCAATACAAAACTAACATATCCATATCTAAAGCACTTGTATCACCACAATAGTCTGTAAGAATTTTTTACAGTAAATCACTATAGAAATCACGTTCATTTCAATACAAAACTAATCATATCTAAATCACTTGTATCACCACAATAGTTTTTATTTAGAGTTGTTAATGGAGTACTCCAGACATTACCACTTCTGGAGTGCTCCGGAGTGGAAAGTTATCAATAACTAATTTAATTGGTGCATTCTAACTTTTCACGGTGTTTTTTTTTCTCACAAAAAACAAGCCAATTTAGCAATAAAGAAGCCTGATTAAACAAATATGTACGGCGTTCCTAATGTTTCACAGAAAAAATATGATATTAATAACTAATTAAAGCTTTGCACACGTTTTTTTTTTCCTTACAAAACTAGCCTTAAACAAATCTCAATCCAATATGCACTTGTTTTTTTTTTAAAAAAAAACTTTTCAAAACGGGTTTTATGTTAGACTAAGAGAGTGTTCTCACAATTTCAATTATAAAAACCTGTGAGATACAAAACATCTTTTTTTCGTTCAAAAACTTACCATTGATAAAGATAGCTCAAGAATGACTTACATTTTTTACATATCAAGCATAATAACAATGAATTCCCAGTAAATTTTTATCCGATTCAAAAAAAATTACTATTTTATTTTTAATGTTAGAGACTTTTAAAACAAACTATACACCAAGGATATTACTTAGATATATAAAATATGCGTAATTACAGGAGAGAAGTATCTTTTTATTTTATGAGTATATAGTAAACCAGTATAGTATAACTTATCAGATAAGTATGCTATAGTGTGGTATATATTATGTATAGTAGATATACAATATGTATAGTTTTTTAAGTTTAAATTATACGGTACGTAGTATTTTTTTTTGGAATTTATTTACATGATGTATAGTTTTAATACATAGGATTATACATTAAGTATAATTAAAAATTTTTATACTATTTGTTATTATAAGCAAATTTGTCTAGCAATCAAATTAATTTATTAATGTATTTTAATATAATGAGGTAATTAATTAATTAGAGAATGAGGCAATACAAAGGACTGTAATTATTTACCAATTTGGAACCAATTTATTTGTATTAATGAATAATTGAAAATTTGATTGAGTTAGTTCAAACTAGTATTTGGGTTAATTAGAAAAAGGTATAATCTAGCTTAGTTTATAAGCTTCACATTTGAACTGCGGATATTCAATTAAAATACTTTATTTAAATAATGCAATTTACTAAATTTTAGGTATTTATTCATGATGACAAAAATTGTATCTAAAGTTACTATCTATCTGAAGTTGCAACTTTAGATATATTAAGTTGTACCTAACCAGAATTATATGTATGAAGATCTAATTTCATGGACTTAATTTTAGTCAGGTCAACTTTATATATCTAAAGTTGCAACTTCAGATAGATGGTAACTTTAGATATGACAATATGTCAACAAAAGACTATTTTATTGTTTATTCATTTAGAAAATCAATATCTTTTTACATATTCAACCTCTTTATGTATATTATGATCAATTATCACACTATTACACTCACACTTCCTCAGTTCCAACTTATGATTATCTATTCTGATACATGTTCTAAAGGTCACATGAGATATCAAATTCATATGCATGTACCTTCCTTGGATATTAAAACTAAATACGCAATACAACTAATTTTTTTTTTTTTTAGATATAAATATGTATAAATTTTTAATATACTCAATACTAAATTGTATAAATTTTTTATTCTACTTTATACTAAACGTATAATTTTTTTATTAGTTTTATTACAAAATGTATAATATATAAATTAGTATTATACTTATTGTAGTATACTATGTACTATACACCTTTAACCAACTATACTATACATGTTATTGTAATACCGTATTTTATGTGTTTTTATATTTTTACAATTAGATATTCACTTAACGTAATGTGTATAATAATAAAAAAACGGATGTATTTAACGAGAAATTACCTTATAGTCAATGACCAGTTGGCTGGATTGTAAGCTTATCAATAAATACATCCGAATATGGAAATGTTAAATGACCGGTTGGCTACATTTCTATATAATAATAAGCATTCTTTCATTAAATGATGATAATTTTTTTCCGAGAAAGATGACAAGAACTAATAGAAACTCTAAAGAGTCTTTATTTAAGAAAGTCACTGATCACTTAAAATTTCTAAATAGGGAATTTAAATGAACAGATAACATAAAACAAAAGGAAATTGAATATCAGATAAATATCATGAATGAATTTTATGAAAAGCTATCGAAGGGAGATATTGTTAGTAATCACGTTTTAAAAGATTTAAATTCAAAGTTTGAAAATGAACGCCAAAGTTATCAACAAAAGATGAAGAGGTAAAATACTTTTTTTATATAAATAAAAGAAAACAATTAATATATAATATTCTTTTAGGCTTGAAAATCATGTAAAAGGTCTTAAAGATAATTTACATCAAAAAGATGAAAGAATACAAGAATTAGAAGGTGATATCGAAATGCTTGAAGCTAAAGTCGAATACAATAATACTGTGATTGATGACCTTAATAATAAGATCGAAATGCTTGAAGTTAATATTGAGCGAAAGAATACCGTGATTTATGATTTTGATAATAACATCGAAATGCTTGAAGTTGACATCGAACGAAAGAATACAGTAATAGACAATCTTAATAATTATATAGAAATGCAGAATAATGATTTTGCTATAATTGAAGCGGAGAGTGATCAATATAAAGAAATCTTTGAATATCAAAAAGTTACTCTTAACTCAAGTATTAAAATTAAAGATCGTGGTTAAGAGATAGAGTTGAGGATTTGAACAAGTAGCGGTGTTAACTCGTGACAATGTAAATTTAATAGTGAATAACTTTGTTAATCAAATTTTAAAGTTTTTTTACGTTTATATAATAAAACTTATATGTTTCAAATATTAAATATATTAGATTAAAAAATTTTATCAAAAAACTCTTTCATGCAATTCTTCTATCAATTAATATCATTTAAAACTATAAATTCTTATTCTGTAAATGTCCACATCATTGACTTTGTTACTATTTTTAACTGACCTGCATTTATTGACCTAATTTTACCTTCCTAACCCCAATTTGAACGCATTAATAAATTTTGCGAAAAAATAAGTATTATAATATAATTACAAAAAAAAATATACATGTTTTTATTGTACTTTTGCAAAATAATGCCCATATATGCACTGCAAGTTAATTTAGGGTGCTCTCAAGCGCCATTCTGATATAATTAGGCACCCAGAAAATGTATACCAGGTTGGGTTCAGATGATAGTTCGGATGATAGTCTGGAAAATGTCTTTGAATTTTTACTTGTTTTTTCTTTTTACTAAGACTTTATTTTTCAATTATATCGATAGTATAAAGCAATAATTAATACAAGTTACAAGACATATCTAATGAATAGAATAATACAAATAATTTCGACATTATAATAGTTATTTCTTTTTAATCATGTAGTTTGTTTTCTGTGACGTTCTTCGATAATTTATATACACTTTTTACAATTGATCATTCCTTATACCCTACATTTCAAATTGATTGATATTTTTTTTCCGAATATTTGTTGACTGTTTGAAATTTGATGAAATAAATAAAGACTTTAACTTGTCTATCGATAGAGATTCGGATTTTTGTATCTTTCTTGAAATATTTAATGTCGGAAAGAAGTTGGCAATTATTGTTAACGTTACTAATGATAAGTTGAAAACTTTTCAATAAATATAGGGAGCTACTATTTCCACCATGGTAATTTGCTATTTCCACCATGGTTACACAAGATTTTCTATTTTTAGACAATAATATAAAAAACTCATAACCCTAACACTAACCCTAATCTTTAACCCTAACCCTAACCTCTAACCCTAACCCAAACCCTAAACTAATAAGTAAACATTTTTTCCAGCCTTAAGTAAACTTGTAGAGAAGACTTTTCTGGTTCTAATAATGGTTAAATCATCAAAATCAGCTTGGTGGATCCCCATGATATTTGGGGTTAAAGGCGCGAATATAGTATTATAGACTATAATACTTTGTGTAACAGTGAATTTGTAGATCTTTATGTTTGCGCCTTTAACCCAAATATCTTGGGATCCACCAAGCCGATTTTGATGATCTAACCACCATTAGAACCAGAAAAATCTCCTCTACAAGTTTACTTAGAGCTAGAAAAATGTTTACTTATTAAAAACTTACCTAATTTTTAAAAATCTAATTTTTACTATATAAATACTAAAAATAGAAAATTTTGTGTAACCCATGGTGGAAATAGGGGTTCCCTAAATACAGTCAGGGATATTACCAAAAATGGATATCGGTTCTAGAACATTTCTAGAATAATCTACTAACAAATCGCAAATTTTGATTGGCTCTTGACGGTCTTTTTAGAGCCAAGATTTTACATTTTAGCGTAATATCCGTCTATACTTAAACGATATATAAATTCAAAGTAAAAATACTCTAGATTAATAATCCGTAACGATCCCATTATAATCCAATTTTTTAAAAAAAAGGTAAATGAAAAGTGAAAATTTGCTATTTAGATATTAAAACTACATATTCACTTTTTTTTTTTTAGAGACTAATATTAAGAACGATGTCGCAGTCCTCATCAGTCAAGCAAGGACCAAAAGCCAAAG